GACCGTGGTCATTCGATGAACATCTTCCCGCCTCTACCCTACCATATTTCCACCCCGACGAGAGAAGCATCGAATATATATACGGAATCACACCTGAAATGGCCAACTTACTGTACAAAACGTGCCGGATCGCAGAACACCTCGCCTTCTACCGCCAGCAGGCCGGTACACCGACTCCTGCGTCTCTTCGCGCAGCGTACAAGGCACTGGGCGACGACGTTATGGCCTGGGTCATTGACGCGGAGCCTTTCCATCTCATCCAGCGCCAAGAGCGCACCATGCTTGAGATTGCGCGGTGCCAGGTCCGCGCGTTCCATAGCGCATTGCTGATATACTACCGCCGCACTGTGCTCGATGGCGACGGCATTATTGTTGATGTGGATGTTGAAGCGGAGGCAAATGCTGTCTGGGAAAACCTGACGGCAGCAGAAGACCTCAAAGATGCATATATGGGCGGTGCGAAAAGAACGGCGCCTATGTCGTGGCCGGCGTTTATTGCCACATGTGAGACGAGGAACCGCGAGCCCTGGGTTACGTGGTGGTCACGAGTCGAGGGGTATGGCCTTGGGAATTTCTCAAGACAGTGGAGGGCTATCCAGGAGGTTTGGGGTGTTATGGATGTGGATGGGAATGTGGGGAGTTGGAGAGAGGCGTTAAGCCGCATAGGGAGATTGGTATTACCGGTCTAGTTGAGCAGGAGTGAGGGTTACTCAAGGCAGTGATCGTTAACAGATTGAAACGGGCTTGTTCATTCAATGTATGTTATTTTTCATATGCTTATGAATCTTTTAACAGACCTTCAATTCATAGGAACGTTCTTCTTAACGGCTTCCTTGATTCAGGCTCGCTACAATCGTCTATCTAGAAGCTCACTTGCTTCCATCTGACTTGTGCTTATGTGGTTCATTCTGCCAGCCACAAAAAAGTCCAATAACCCCTTGCTTGCTTTTCAGAATACTGATTCGACCATTCTAAAGCTCATCCTTCACCCTCGATGGCGCTGGTCCCTTCTTTGACTTGGCCATGGCCGCCATAATGTCCACGATCAGGTCCGCAGCCGCAATCGACGTGATTTCGGCGGCGGTGTCATACGGAGGGCTCACTTCAACCACGTCAGCACCAACTATATTGATGCCCTCAAGACCTTTAATGAACCGCTTGACTTCGCGCGTAGTCCACCCGCCGGATTCTGGAGTGCCTGTAGCTGGGGCAATGCTTGGATCCAGCACTATCACGAGTTAGCACATTGGCGTCTTCAAGTGCAAGAAGTAAGCAGCAGATGACGCAAGGACTAAGCGGTATCTTACCGTCAATATCGATGGATAGATATGTAGGGGTGTCCTTGACGAAGCTCAATGTCTTCTCGATGATACCGTTCATGCCAATGTCATCGATCTCGTGTGCCTCAATAATGCCGAAGCCGACATCTCTGTCAATCTCATAATCCTTGGGGCTCTGCAACAATCAGAATAGGGATCAGTACAAGCGTTCTCAGAGTTTGGGTATTGAAGAGTGCCGGCACTGACAAATAGCTTGGTTCGGAGGCCGCCATGCACACTGGTCCCTTTGCTGATGCAGCCCTCCCGGCTAGCGTGCCAAAAGAAAGTACCATGAGTAAGGGCGGACTGATTTGACCTGATACCTGTGTAGCCTTCGTAGGGGTCCCATCTGTATGCGACACGGTTAGCGCCGGTTTTTTCTAATAGCCAAGTGGAAGACATTGCTCACGTATCCAAATGCGAATCCAAGTGAATCACCGATATAGGACCATATACAGTCTTGAGAGACCTTAAAATAGGCAAGACGATGGAATGATCACCTCCCAAGCTGATTATGCGCGGATGTTCCCATGAGTTTACTGAAGAGGTTGGATGGTACAAGACCTGCCTGTAGCCTTGTTCCATCTGCTTGAAAGCATGGGCTGCATCAAACGAAGTGATGGGCACATCACCGCAATCGATCTGAAAGCCAAGAATATCAACAAGGTGAATCCTCTGAGTAAACAGGTTGAGCAATGGCGCTACTCATTACAGGGTTATTGGTGTGTGCGGAATGGTCCGACTTACAATAGCGAGTCCCTCTTCGTAAGGATCGACTTCCCAGACGGTGTTGTAGCTTCGTCCCTTTTTTTCCCTCGCGGAACCAGCCCGGATACCTCGAGGGCCGAATCGGGCACCTGGCCTGTAGGACGTTGATGTGTCATATGGAAATCCTAGTATGGCGATGTCCAAGGGCTTTGAGCCAGATTAGGAACTAAGCACTGAGACGAGTTTTCCGCGTAAAGGAACGACGTACTTTGTCGTGAGACGCAGCAAGACAGCGCTGCCATTCCAGATGGGCAAATGTCACTGGCTGAGAGAAGGGGAGATCAACATCAAGGTCTATGAACGCATTAGCGTACGGATTCTAATTCATCAGTCTCTTTCGTATAGGTTCTGCAAACCTTCAATTGGGTGGCTATAGTCTGGACCAACATTGATGGCGGCCACTGCAGGGAGAATACCCGTCCAGGCGTTTGGTCGCATGCTCAACGATTTGGAGTAAGACGACGACTTTGGCTCTGGATAAGTAAGGGCGCTAAGCTGGAAGGAAGCCGTACAGAAGTCAAGATGTGGGATTTAAGGATATTGGTCATTTTTGACAAGACTTGCGATCTTTATATATGTATCAATACTTAGCTCGGTGCGGCCCAGTTCAGTTTTGATTATGCACTAAGTGTATCTGTCTAACGTGGAGGCGTTGCGGGTCTGCATCTTTACGTAGTCGAAACTGCGGCGATGAAGAGGGGCAAAAGGGCACTGATAAGAAGCTCGCAGGCGCTTTCCACGCCTACTCCAAAGGAAACAAGACCTCGCAGTCTCCTGCCGAAGCCGAGCAGCCTGCGCGCCTGCCGTCGCTGGCCGCACATGAGCACGGACGCCAGTCTCGCTGGCGGTTGCCGGATTTGGCGTCCCCAACCAAAATCGGGCAACCACGCTACTATCCTACCATCCTCCCCCACCACCCCCAATCCATCACCATCTCGCTACAGTCACGCAAAACAAGCATTGATTAAGATGCGCTTATTTAAGATGACCGAAAGAGCGAAATGTATGAGCTCGGCAGCAGCAGCGTCATTATACAAGCGTCTCAGATCTTTACACGCGCTTCGTCATAACACTCTCCTGTTCTCTTGTCGCTAGGCAATGGCCGTAGCAGTTGTTGCCGCTGCCGCTCTTGGCCTGGCATTCCTGCTCTACCACCTTTGTTTTTCTCTCTTTATAAGCCCTCTTGCAAAGATACCGGGTTCAAAAGCGTTTGCCTTCTCAAGATGGCGACTTGCACTGGAAGACTTCCGAGGCACACGCACACACACCATTCACGCGCTTCATAACAAGTACGGCCCCGTCGTGCGCCTCGGGCCTAGTGAAGTGTCATTTAACACCACTTCCGCCCTGCGAACCATATATGGAGCTGGCAGCGGTTTCGGGCGGACCAGCTTCTACAACATGTTTCATGTCTATGGGCGCAAGAACATGTTCTCCTTCTTCTCCGGTCGCGAGCACTCGGAGCGTAAGAAGATGTTTGCCAGTGCCTACGCCAAATCGGCCATGCTCAAAGGAGCCAACGCAGCCATAGTCGAAGCCAAGGTCCGCCAGTATCTGGATCTGATTGCACGACAGCAAGGCTCGAGCGAGATATTCGCCTCACTGCACTACTTTTCTTTGGACGCCATCACCGACTTCTTGTACGGGAAATACGGGAAGACGTCCTGCTTGGAAGGCTCCAAAGCCGACTGCGCATTAGTCGATGATATAGTGGACGTTGCGCGTCGCAGACTTTCATGGTTCGTCATCCACCTACCACGCTTCACTACATGGCTGTATTCTAGAACCGGTCTCTTCGAGAGGGTTGCCCGCTGTTTCTACCCGATGCAGCTGCCAACCACGTACACAGGCATCCGTCGCCACGCTATGGTCGCATGCCAGGAATTTGTACGTAGCTCAGCTGCCTACGACCCCTCTAAGAGCGTAGAGCATATGTCTCCATTGATCGCGAAGCTGTGGAGGCATCATTGCTCCCGACAGCCTGGTGGGCTGGATGACGTTGATATTGCTTCCGAGTGCGCCGACCACCTCCTCGCTGGTATAGATACCACCAGTGACACTCTGATGTTCCTCATCTGGTCGCTCTCCCGGCCCGAGAGCTGCAAGTTCCAGCAGAAACTGATCGAAGAGGTCCGCAGCATATCCCAGGAAGGCCTCAACTCAGATGGTATTCCAACCGTCGAGACCAGTGACAAACTTCCTTATGTAAATGCTGTCATCAAAGAAACTCTGCGATTGTATGCTCCCTTACCGGCCTCTGAGCCACGGGAAGCTCCTACAGCCACCGTGATTGATGGCCATCATATCCCATCAGGAACTACAGTATCCATCTCGCCGTATATCCTACATCGGAACCCAAAAGTCTTCCCGAATCCGATGCAGTTCAACCCCGATCGTTGGATGGATCCCTCCCAGAACATTGCCGAGATGAACAGGTGGTTCTGGGCATTTTCCAGCGGAAGTAGAATGTGTATCGGTCTCCAGTACGTCATTGAATTCCTTTTGAATCCAGTATACAATTACCTGCTTGATTTGGATTTATTTACTTACTCAAATTAGCCTTGCAATGGCGGAAATGACCACGTTAGTGGCCGCTGTATATCGCAAATACACCACCACTACCGTTGGTAATTTTGATACAATTTCTCCCGGTATCACAAGCCGCTATGAACTGTTTTACGATGAAGGATGCAGCGGCGTAAAGGTGAGTTTTGGCTTCCATCACAATTGCACCAAGACGAAGGCCTTGCCCTCTTATAACATATCCTAGGAACACGAATGCCAAATCCGATTCGACACGCTGGCCGCATGAGCCTTGTACTATGCTTGAGTATATATTTGTTGAGGGGGAAATGGCCTACATGTGATTGTAACGAGCCTAGTTCGGGAACGTGGCTACATACAAGGTCAGAATTAAACAGAAGACCATGCTTTATCAACTGGAAGCGCTACACCGTTGATTGCAGAACTGAGATCAGAACCCAAGAAGACGAGAACATTTGCTATCTCTTCTGGACCGATGGGGCCATTGGCGATAGGCTCGTTCTTTTGATCAAGGCTTCCCGTCGTTTCTGGCGCAAAATGGATATCAAGCACCGGCCTGTTGTCAATTAGCAATTAAAATACTACGGAAGTGGGTATGACATTTATGCGGACCTCGCATTTTTCATAGCTTCTAAATCGATATCACCTATGATTGCATTTGTGATATTGATTCGTACACCTGTTTGTTCGTAAGCATGTGCCTGGGAGAAGGGTTGATGAATATTCCTCATACCTCCAGGACAAATAGCAGTACAACGGACCCCTTTTCTGTGGTAGCGCCAGGCTACATTCTTTGTAGCACCAATCTAATCATGTTGACCTGTTTTCAGTAGAATTTTCTCATGTTTCGCTGTTCTTCATCTCCTGTCGCACCAAGGATGACTTACGAGACCATGTTTGGCGGCGGTGTAAGCCACACCACCTGATGCACCACCCAGCCCAGTCATACTCGAAACATTGACAATGGAACCACTCTTCTGCTTTCGCATATATGGTATCACGGCTCTCATAAGCTTGATCGGCCCTGTTAAGTCAATGTCGACTACTCGATTGTACTGAGAATCATCTAGGGTATCAACCGAAACGAGTTGATCCGACACTCCAGCAACGTTGAGCAGGACGTCGATGCGGCCATCAAAAAACCTCAGACACGCTTCTACCGTAGCATCGATGTCGGCTTGCTTTGAAACGTCGCAGCTATGAAACAAAAAGTTGGGAAATGTTGAAATCTCGGCTGGAGGCTGTTGAATATCGCAACCAAAGACCTTGGCACCCGCACTCAAATACGCATGTACGGTGGAGAGGCCAATTTCGCTGAAGCATCCAGTAATTAGGACAACCTAGAATTGATATGAGAACTCATTTTCAACAACTTCGGGGTAGAGGTGTGTCAAATAATGGCGGACCTTGTCTTTGAGCATCGCCATGATAGCGTCTGAATGTTGGTTATAACAGCTGGGTGAAAAGTAGGGCAATTCTGATTATATGCTAAATCAAACTGTTGTTTGGAGGCATCATTTCAGTGCCACAGCTGGTGAATAAATAGTTGCGTAGTCATACTCCGGGTCGAAGCGGGCTAGAAGTATTCGCATGCTGTTGCAAATGCTCTGTCACACAACATGGCGTCAGGAAACTAAGTTGGAAGCATTGGATTCAGATTGTGGTTGCCGAGGATACTTCATGAAGTGAAGCATTATAGCCGTCACCCGAAGAAAACCTGCTGTAGGAGACATAGACAGCCCGAATGCTCGTCGGACCGACCGGAACTTCGCTATGCGGCCTGCTAATTCCAACAGCCTCAGAGTACAATAGTAAAGGTAATACACTATTACCTACCCCGCAATCGGGGCACGGAATCGCTCCTTTCCCCAGCAATTCTACTTTTCCCCACAATTGGAATGTGGGGTCGAGCCTCCCCTGCTGGCGCCATCCTCAAATTCACTCCTCACTCACTCTCCAGGCCCTTATCGTACCGGAAATCTCATACTTTTAACTTGAGTGAATGCTTGATAGACTGCTTTCTCAAGTTCCTTGTGTAATGATGCCGCTCCATGATCGCCAGGAGGAAGATACTGAAAAAATACTATGCCAGCGATACCAGACTAAGGATCCGCCCAGTAGCTACTATCAAAGCTGAAAAATATAGTGCTATTGTACGAGACTTACCCAGAGGTGACGTGGCATCCCGATCTACTGGAGACTATAGTAGTAAGAAATAAAATCAACCAAGCTTTTGAGAAAGCTGGGGTAAAAGGCCCAGTAATTAAAGAGATCTCAATAACAAAGAAGAACAATCTTATCCTAACAGCAACGGATGGATACTCTGGAGATTTCCTACTCCAACAGATCAACGTTTGGGAAAACCAGCTCCAAGTA